TATGGTTCTGACTGTCGTCTGGATTCTCTGATGATGTTTATGGTTCTGACTGTCGTCTGGATTCTGTAGTGATGTTTATGGTTCTGACTGTCGTCTGGATTCTCTGGTGATGTTTATGGTTCTGACTGTCGTCTGGATTCTCTGATGATGTTTATGGTTCTGACTGTCGTCTGGATTCTCTGGTGATGTTTATGGTTCTGACTGTCGTCTGGATTCTCTGATGATGTTTATGGTTCTGACTGTCGTCTGGATTCTCTGATGATGTTTATGGTTCTGACTGTCGTCTGGATTCTCTGATGATGTTTATGGTTCTGACTGTCGTCTGGATTCGATGATGATGTTTATGGTTCTGACTGTCGTCTGGATTCTCTGGTGATGTTTATGGTTCTGACTGTCGTCTGGATTCGATGATGATGTTTATGGTTCTGACTGTCGTCTGGATTCTCTGATGATGTTTATGGTTCTGACTGTCGTCTGGATTCTCTGATGATGTTTATGGTTCTGACTGTCGTCTGGATTCTCTGATGATGTTTATGGTTCTGACTGTCGTCTGGATTCTCTGGTGATGTTTATGGTTCTGACTGTCGTCTGGATTCTCTGATGATGTTTATGGTTCTGACTGTCGTCTGGATTCTCTGATGATGTTTATGGTTCTCACTGTCGTCTGGATTCTCTGATGATGTTTATGGTTCTGACTGTCGTCTGGATTCTCTGATGATGTTTATGGTTCTCACTGTCGTCTGGATTCTCTGGTGATGTTTATGGTTCTGACTGTCGTCTGGATTCTCTGATGATGTTTATGGTTCTGACTGTCGTCTGGATTCGATGATGATGTTTATGGTTCTGACTGTCGTCTGGATTCTCTGATGATGTTTATGGTTCTGACTGTCGTCTGGATTCTCTGGTGATGTTTATGGTTCTGACTGTCGTCTGGATTCTCTGATGATGTTTATGGTTCTGACTGTCGTCTGGATTCTCTGGTGATGTTTATGGTTCTGACTGTCGTCTGGATTCTCTGGTGATGTTTATGGTTCTGACTGTCGTCTGGATTCTCTGATGATGTTTATGGTTCTGACTGTCGTCTGGATTCTCTGATGATGTTTATGGTTCTGACTGTCGTCTGGATTCTCTGGTGATGTTTATGGTTCTGACTGTCGTCTGGATTCTCTGGTGATGTTTATGGTTCTGACTGTCGTCTGGATTCTCTGATGATGTTTATGGTTCTGACTGTCGTCTGGATTCTCTGATGATGTTTATGGTTCTGACTGTCGTCTGGATTCGATGATGATGTTTATGGTTCTCACTGTCGTCTGGATTCTCTGATGATGTTTATGGTTCTGACTGTCGTCTGGATTCTCTGATGATGTTTATGGTTCTGACTGTCGTCTGGATTCTCTGATGATGTTTATGGTTCTGACTGTCGTCTGGATTCTCTGGTGATGTTTATGGTTCTGACTGTCGTCTGGATTCTCTGATGATGTTTATGGTTCTGACTGTCGTCTGGATTCGATGATGATGTTTATGGTTCTGACTGTCGTCTGGATTCGATGATGATGTTTATGGTTCTGACTGTCGTCTGGATTCGATGATGATGTTTATGGTTCTGACTGTCGTCTGGATTCTCTGGTGATGTTTATGGTTCTGACTGTCGTCTGGATTCTCTGGTGATGTTTATGGTTCTGACTGTCGTCTGGATTCTCTGATGATGTTTATGGTTCTGACTGTCGTCTGGATTCTCTGATGATGTTTATGGTTCTGACTGTCGTCTGGATTCTCTGGTGATGTTTATGGTTCTGACTGTCGTCTGGATTCTCTGGTGATGTTTATGGTTCTGACTGTCGTCTGGATTCTCTGGTGATGTTTATGGTTCTGACTGTCGTCTGGATTCTCTGGTGATGTTTATGGTTCTGACTGTCGTCTGGATTCTCTGATGATGTTTATGGTTCTGACTGTCGTCTGGATTCTCTGGTGATGTTTATGGTTCTGACTGTCGTCTGGATTCTCTGATGATGTTTATGGTTCTGACTGTCGTCTGGATTCTCTGATGATGTTTATGGTTCTGACTGTCGTCTGGATTCTCTGATGATGTTTATGGTTCTGACTGTCGTCTGGATTCTCTGATGATGTTTATGGTTCTGACTGTCGTCTGGATTCTCTGGTGATGTTTATGGTTCTGACTGTCGTCTGGATTCTCTGATGATGTTTATGGTTCTGACTGTCGTCTGGATTCTCTGATGATGTTTATGGTTCTGACTGTCGTCTGGATTCTCTGATGATGTTTATGGTTCTGACTGTCGTCTGGATTCTCTGATGATGTTTATGGTTCTGACTGTCGTCTGGATTCTCTGATGATGTTTATGGTTCTGACTGTCGTCTGGATTCTCTGATGATGTTTATGGTTCTGACTGTCGTCTGGATTCTCTGATGATGTTTATGGTTCTGACTGTCGTCTGGATTCTCTGGTGATGTTTATGGTTCTGACTGTCGTCTGGATTCTCTGGTGATGTTTATGGTTCTGACTGTCGTCTGGATTCTCTGATGATGTTTATGGTTCTGACTGTCGTCTGGATT